CGATCGTTCGACTATAATTTGATAAATATTAAAATGATTATAACCAATTGGTATAGGACAATCAACTAATATTGGATCATCATCTAATAATTTATCAAATGTTTGACAATCAGATTTCATAATTGCTTCTAAAAGATATTTTCGTTTTTCAGATTGTTGATTTAATTGAACAATTTTAAGTGCAGCATTTATATATGACCATTGTTTTTTTAAACGATTTTTCTTTCGAATATATTCAGTTGATGACATATTTTTGTTTGAATAAGATATCTAAAAATTAATTATAATTAATTTAATGAAAAGAAAAATAAGAGTTCTATCGAAATCTTGATCAAAACGACCAAACTAAAGAATTTCTATTTGCTATTCCAAAGAAAAATAAATGTTTCTCGTTACACATTTCTAAGTTTTGACATTGATATTTTTCAGTTTTAATAAAAACTTATAAAGAATTGTAAGTAAACACTAAGCACTCAATCTTCTATTTTGTTCATTGATTAAATTATTTGTTTTGTGCATAGATATTTTCATAGACTTATGTTCTTTACACAAGGATTCCTTCTTTTCTATGATAAGTTCATTCATCGAAACTATTAATCGATTTTCTGATCCATTATCTTAATCAGTTATTTTCGACATCTTCTTGTCTTACTCAAGCTTAGCGATATGGGAAAAAACTTGCACTATATGGAGATATTACTTCAAATACTTTAATAATAGTCCATCCCATAGGCATTCTCTACCTTGCAATGGTAGTATTCTAATTGAGCATAGAGCATGACAAAAGAAGACTGTGACGTAGGGCTCCATCGGTTGTACATGCCATTAAAATATTCTGACAGCAATGCCAAATTTATAGAATCATTATATATCATCAAAATGTACGCAAACATCGTATTTTAGATGTTTGATAAAAATCAAAATTATGTCGATTTTTTTCTCCTTCAAAAACGTTACGTATCGTATCACTTTATATAACTTTGTTTTGACTATCAATTGAATTTTAATACCTTCACCATCTTTTTCCTCATTCCAACATTAAAAAAAAGTTTATTTTCATTCAAAAATTTATTAAGATAAAAAACTTCTCTATAAAAAAAAGTGTCAAATAAAATCACAATCACTGTAAATTAAAAAAAAACGTTGACTAACATTACATATCAAAAATAAAATTGACTTAGATTAATAATAATTTGACTATTAACAAATGCACATGATTTATCATTTTATACATCATCTTCGACTGAAGGCATAAAAGAAGATCGTTTGCCTGTTCTTAATGATTCATAATGATTATCTACTTTATCTATTGATGATATTCGAATTGGAATCGATGGAAAATTTATATTTCGACGTCGTGTTGAATCAGAACTTTCCGATAAATCTACAGGATCTGATATTTGATGTTTTTTTTCAGATGTAATTTGTTCATCACCTAATTCACGTTTATGTTTACGCTTTAATTTTTTTGAATTTTTAGCATAAAATGCTTGCCATAATTGATTAATAACCTAAAAATAAATTTTTATTAGTTTTTCTTTAAAAAAAACAAAACAAAACTCCTATTAATTTACTTCAGTACAAACAAAATCACTTGTATTCGATGATAATAAACGAAGCAAAAATATACCATCTGATTCAAGATAACCATGTATAAATTCTATATACCATCTTTTCATATATTCAGGTGATTGTCTATTAAAATCATTGTCACATCTCATTAATTGTAAACGTCGTTTTATATAATTATATTGTTTTTTAGGAAGAAAACGTATTACCCAAACAATAACATCAAATATCGACTACACAAACAACAACAACAAAAAAAAAACAAACTTCAATATATGAAATTCATTACATACAACTATAAAAACCATCATATACCAAAACCAAATAAAAGTAAAAATCTAAATAATTATTATTTTTTAATAAAATAAAAAAAAAACAAGAAATCTATTTTCAATAATATTTACTTGTTGAGAAAATAAATTTAATGGTAGAACACATTGTACAGTATAACGATGTGCATCACTTGGATGAAGAGCTTCTCGTATTTGAAAATCACATAATGTTACTTTTGGAAAATATCTTGATTGTGTATCCCAACCTAATTAACAAATAAATAAACAGAACGTCTTTCATATTATTTTACCTCGTCCTTGAAGAATTCTTTGAAGTACTTGTATTCCAAATAAATGAAATTCTTGTCCCAAAAATAAATTTAATAAAAATATTTGACATACAGCATTTGTTATAAACAATGCTTTTGTTGTAAAATAAACAATAATTAAATAATTACCCAAATATTTTCCCATACAAATACATATTGTCATCATTATATATTTTAAATTAATACGTTTACCACGTTCATCAGCTCGTCGTCGTGGATCATCAACATATTTATCTATAGTTTCAACAATATATTCCATTAAGTCATTTTTATGTAGATCATCTTTTATTGCTATATCAACTGATTTATAATGAATAGCTGCATCAACTATATCACGTACATCAATACCACTACGACGTGATAATGAACGCCAAATAATATGTGGAAAATAAAAACAAAATGCTTGAAGAATTAAGATAAATGGTATCCATTGATAATAACGTAATTCATTTTGACGTCTTTCACGTTCGAGTTTGGGTACTTTTTGTCCAAGAGGAGCGTAATATGTATTTGATACCCAACATATATCATTGACATATTCCTTAAAAAAATCATATATTTTGTTTTAATTTTACAAATAACATTATATAAGAAATCGCCTAATGTAATTTATCGGTTTTGATCCTATGCTTTGCCAGTAAGTAGAAGAGCTGCAGACTAGAAAAAGTCTAAGAGAATATGGACCTATGCTGTGATTAAGCTCAGATATGGAAGTTTTAATAAAATTTTTTCTGCCGGGTCCTGATCTTCTAACAAAATCATATTTTCAAATTTTGATCTGAAACTCTGTTCATATCAAGCACTCAGCTAGATTAGCTCGTATATAAAATTTCAAAAGTTTTAGACGTAGCGTCGCTGAAATATGAATTTTTCAAAATATTCATGCCTTATACAGTACGTATAGAGAAGCTCCTATATTCTGAAAAATTCATATTTCAGCGATGCTATGTCTAAAAATTTTGAAATTTTATATATAAGCTAGTCTAGCTGAGTGCTTGATATGAGCAAAGTTTCAGGTCAAAATTTGAAAACATGATTTTGTTAGAAAATCAGGATCTGGCAAAAAAATTTTCAATAAAACTTTCATATCTGAGTCAAAACGAAATGTAGGGCCACACTCTCATAGATCTTTTCTAGTCTACAACTCTTCTACCTACAGGCAAAGTATGGGACCAAAAGTAATATAAATCACGTTGGGCGGTTTCCTCGTTAGCTTTTAAAGAAATAAGAAAAGAATATATCATAATAATAATAAAAAATGTACGAATTAAAACGTATTATGCCAATTTAATATAATTTGTATATGTATCAGATTCATTTTCTTTCGAATCAAATATGCAAACTATTGTAAGATTTAGAATATCATCAAAGATTGGTCTGTATAATCGATCAATTGAATGTTTGAATATCCTCTTTATTGAGCAGCTTAATGTTTTTTGCATATGGAGCTAAAGAAAATAATCTCTTTAGAATATGTTTCTTATTCTATAACCTCCTATGCAATATAAATGAAAAACCAAGCTTTTTCAATTTCATCTTCCCACTACTACTATTTCGACTTATATTGATACTATCGACACATGGCATGTTACTTAGTCTAGAATGAAAATTTCAGTCATAAATAACGATAAATCCTAGAGAAAATTGTAACTGTGTCTCACGTACTGTGATGCTTTCATGCTTTGTGTTTGTTAACATGAAATTTTGCAAAATCAATAGGACTTTATAGCTTATGCTGTTAGTTTTTAGTCGAACATATATTAAACAGAGTAAGAGCTCGATAAAATTCTATGCCACATCAAGAATACATTTGTGACAAAGTTGCAATTTTCTCAATGAGTTTTCATTATTCATGACTGCAACTTTTAGAATAGATTGAATAGCGAGCTGCATATCAATAATGTAATTATGAATCGAAACAGCAATAATGTAAAGCAGTAATCAGAAAAAAAACTAAGTGTTCCATTTATTTTACACAAGAAGATATAAGACATCTTCAATCTCAATCTAGAAGGATCATACAAGCGATCATTTATAAAATGCTTAGTCTCATATATATAGAGTTCTGTACATTCCTTTGGCAAGTTTTTATTCAAAGAAAAGTTATTATAGTACACAAAAAAAAGGTGTCATTAACCAGCATTCGACAGTCATTTAACGATTCTGCGTTACTTCCCTAACTCAAATCGTTTTTATGTTTCCATTCTATGGTTTTCTACTATCATTATGTTCTCTTATTCACCGAATTTTAAAGAACTTCAGAAATTTTCCTCAATCATATATGCATATTATACTTATAGTCATCATTATTTACTTCATAATTTTTCGTAAATTGTGCTGGAACCCAACCTATAATAATTAAAAAATTTTAGTAAACAAAATTTCTCTTTAGACTCTTCTTACTTACATTGTATATGCTTAGTACCAAATTGCTTATTTGTAACAACAATAGCAAAAAGAACAAGCATAAAAACTGTATATTTATATGAAACTCGATCAGCAAAACTATCATCACAACGTGTTGAACCGAAGACAAGTGTCGGTAGACGTGTTACCAAACCAAAGACATCCATTTTGTTTTTATCTGAAAAAAGTAAAACAGATTGTATTGAAAAATTAACAATAGTAAAAAAAACAATAACAAAAAAAGAAAACAACTAAGAATTATTCTTCATCAATTGACATTAAGAAATCATTTTCTTCAACCTATTTTAATATATATAAAAACTTGTTTTTTTTGTTGTTATATTTATCTTACTAAAAATTGAACACGTCAAATAAACAATATATCCATCCGTTATTGAATTTTCATTTATTGAATGAATAGCATTTAGTAAAAGTTGACGTTGAGCTGTAAAAAACATCGTTGAATATCTTTTTCATTCTAATTTGTAATCATTTAATTTGCATATATAAATATAATCCATATCTTACTTTAGAATATTTTACTGCTGGATCTTTTGCTATAACGCCTATACCACTACATGATGCATCAACAAGACATCCATCAAAACCATCCATATGCTAAACGAGAAGAAAAAAAAAAGTTAAATACTAAACTTTCAATGAAAAAAAATATACAAAGCATTCACATATATTAGTTTGCATAGTCTATAATGCTATCCTTTGACAAGCACATATAATATCGTTATGGAAATATAGAATGCATACATAATGTAAAAATATTGATATTTAATTAACAGCTGGTTAATGTATTATTGCTTCATTTTTTTTCTCATTAGTGAAAGTAAACTATAAGTGATGACATACTATGATATAAAAAACATTATTGACCTTGATGAATTGTAAACAAATACAAATAATTAAATAAGATTTGTACTATAAAATTAACAAGCATGTCAATTACAAAAAGAAGAAGCATTCAGAACATATTTGATAAATAAAATTGTTTTCGATTTGATTTACTCGAATTGATTCTAGCTTTCATTTGTAACAATGGTCAAAGAAATAACTTCCGAATATAAGTACATTCGATTATAGTTTGTGTTTATGTTATACAGCAAAATTTTCCCAATATTTTGCTGAATATTAAGCAAGATACATAGTGTAAAATTCAATTTGTGTTTAATACAATAATTAAATTAGTTTTATGCGATGACAAGGTTCAAGTCATTCTTGCAGTTCTGTATGGGACGTAAGTAGTCAAGAATAACTCACAACATATTTAGATTTGTTCATCGGATTCTTCTTAGTTAAATTATACTTGAAAAGAATATTTCCTCAGTTGATTTAACTGCAAATATCTGCAGAAAAAATGTTACTGTACAGTTTGTGATATAATTTGAATATATTCAAAACAGTAAATGCTAGAGGATTGGAATTATTATTACTAATGTAACTTTTTGAGCTCTATTTAATCTGAAAGTTTGAATGAAATCCGAGCAACTATTCGGGAGTTATAGATCAAACAAGTTTTAAAATGTCACTGTACAAAGTAAGTGAATATCCTACTTTTTGAGTACTTCGATCCTTTCTTTCTCTAATATAGAAATAAGAAAAGGCAAGCATTTTTATATAAAAAAAAAAGTTCTCTATTTTATGGTATATTGGTTTTCTATTTAACTCTTTCCTAGTCTACAAGAGTAGTGGTTTTGAGTCACTGTACATAGAAAAGAAAAAGTGTCTGCTATTGAACGTCAATAACAGAAGTATAGAAACGAAAAGATGTACATACTAGTGAACCATATGTTTCAATAATGTGATATTCAAGCTACAAAATAGCCTACTCACATTTCCTTTTCTCCAACAAGCGTCTTCTTTGAATATGCCTCGCTCAACAATGCCATTTTTTTGTAATTATTATTCTTCTATAAAATCATTTGCCTTAAAAAAATGTTGTCCATCAAGATTTGTTACAACCGTATTTGTTAAATCTAATCGATATATATTCGCAATAATTGCTTTTATACAATCTTTATTAGTATCACTTGCTACAAATACCCCACTATTTCGCATTAATGCACATCAAATTTAATTCTTCGAAAAAGAAAAATCCTTTTTAATAAAAATAAAAAATCAATTCGCTTTTCCACCAGAAGCTGTACACATATCTAAATTTTTTTCATTCAGCTGAGGTGCTAATGTCATAACAGGTAAAAAAAAACCTTGAAGTACCTTGTAACATATAATGTCCACAAAGATATTTAGTTGTTGCATCGATAGGTACTTGACTATTATAAATAACAAAACAAACTTTACTCCATTTATCAAGTGGATCAACATTAACATGTCGATTGACAGGTGCTTAAGCAAGATCATGACGACATGTTTTTAATGTATTTGTTCGAATAGTAACTGGTCGTTGAACATTATTTGTTTCCAAAAAATTGATTAATTAAAAAAAATTCATTATATGATTAATAATTACATAAATCAATCTATTCTTTTCTTGAACTTAGGTATTTTTCATTGATTGCATTAATAATTGTAAAT